AATCATACAATCTATCCCAAGTAAGGAAAAAAGCAGTGTTACGGGATTTGAGTAATCTTTTATAAGTGTTAAAGAATATGTATTTCTTTAATGAAGTAAAAAAGCTAATGAAATTTAAATGGACATGGGACATTTAAAAAAAAAAACATTAATATAACCAACACAACAATATTAATTGACAATATATAACGAAGTTTTGTTAATTATAAATAATAGCATTAATAAAATAAAATCTAATACAATTATTTTTTCGGACAATAATCTATGCTTTATTTCAATTCTTTCGAGATGATCATTTTTAACTGGTTTGGGTATATCTACTATCAATTTCTCTAATTTTCTTTCAAATATCTTCAACTGATGCATCATAAGATCTATCAAAATTATTATATAATTAAATTATTTGATTATTTATCAAAAAAAAACAAAGAAATAAGCACAATTACAATATACAATATCAGGAAACATTCTCTCCAACAACGTTAACAGGAAGAAAGTAAAATAATTCAATCTTTTTTGGTGTCATAACACACATTCAGAAACCTTAAAATGAGGTTAATTACAGCATGATAGTTGAATTATGGCTTGTAGATTTTAAAACAAACAGTATTTTATACCAACCTCCTTTTGGTTCTAACTCCAACAACTTCTGGACGGCCAAGATAAGGATTAGAAATGGTAGTAACATAAGATCAATTGACATTTCATGTTGGTATCTATTGTATGCAGAATTCTGATGTCTCACTCTTTTGTAAGTTGTTGCAAAGTATCAGGGATCAATTAGTTCAACTCATGTTTATCTTGTTTGTAAAGAAAATAAAGTTGATTCAATTGATTCAGTTCAAGTTCAATCACATGATGTTATGAACTTTCATAACTAGTACAAATTTTGAAACATTTAATTGAGTTCGGGTTCAGTTCAAGACCAATCACATGACAAATTTGCTTTCGTATGGTTATCAGCATGTTTTCAGTACTTTTCCTGTGCATTTATGCGCAGAAATTGCTCATTTACCACACAGTCGAAGCTCTCTATACCAATCCCCCTGGACCAAGAATTTTCATTCAGTATAGAGTTGGTTTGTTAGAGAAAAGTGTCAATCATTGTCATATGATCATTAATTATTAAAATTCATAATAATATTGTCTATATTTTTCAGGCAAGCATTCATTGAAGCTTTAATGTTATTTGGTGATGGTGTGCAATTACACTAGTTGCAAACTTTATCATGCAATATCGCATGATTGAACTTGAACTTGTTCATGAACTTTGAACTGAACTCGAACTGAACTTATGGATACAGTTCAAGTTTGGTTCAAGTTCAACCATTATCTGTTCAAAGTTCGGTTCAGGTTTGGTTCAAGTTCAGGGCTCAATTGAACTTGAACTGAACCAAACTGAACCTAGGAATACTATTCAGAAGGGATATTAACATATTATTAATAAATAAAATCACTAGCACAAAAGATTTTAATGTTGCAACAACAAATTTTGTTTTATACAAAATTTATTGATACTGGATCTTTTTAATGAAAATAATGGTCAAAGTGAATAAAATTGTTGTAAGATAACCAAATACTTGCCTTTATTGTAATTATAAACAATTGTTGATATGCAATATTGAAATAGAACTTACAAACATGTTCTATAAAATCTCTGGAAAATATATTAATGCACTTGTACATATTTGAATTCTGATACTGTCTGGATAGAGTATATACAGTACCTGGACAAAGGTATCGGAACACTTGCTTTTGTTAATGGCGCAAAAATGTACATAATAAACATATATGAAATTTATATCATTTGCGGTTTAGGTTCTTGTGAATATCTATGGAAAATCCCATGTATCTAGGTTCTGTAGAACCCGAATAAATATATAAAAATAAAATTTGATTAAATTTTGACATGACGTTTTTAGAAATTGTCCAAGAACCTACATAGTAATATGTTTTGAAAATTTTGTATATGAAAACCCAAGTTTGTGATTCCGAAAAATTATTTTTTATTACATATTTTTTAAGAACTTTTTTTTAAAAAAGTCTAATTTAATTGAAGCTCAACGCGGACAAATAATTGGCCTTTATAAAAGTGGAGCTCATATAGAAGTATTTCTAAAATACTTGGCTTCCCATCACAACAGTATATCGTATTAGAAGTTGTCCTAGCAATTTAAGAGTTCTTAAGAACTTGAACTTGAGGCTGCTTTAAAAGAGGAACGGAATAAAATTCCTCAAAATGTTTTAATGAATTTGATTGAAAGCATGCCTAGTAGAATTCAGGCTTGTATAAAGAACAAAGGATACCCAATTAAATATTAAAAGTAGTTAAAATTTTAAATTAAAAAAAATTTAGTGATCGTCAAAGAAAATTTTTTATTCAAATTTCATTTTTATATATTTATTCGGGTTCTACGGAACCTAGATACATGGGATTTTCCATAGATATTCACAAGAACCTAAATCGCAAATGATATAAATTTCATATATGTTTATTATGTATATTTTTGCGCAATTCATAAAGCAAGTGTTCCGATACTTTTGTCCAGGTACTGTATTAAACTTTTTTTCAACTAGTACTAGATTTTGTAAATATGACAATCATTAATTAATCGAGGAATAGTCCTATATTCATAACAGTCGCAGGACATTACAGATCAACAGGGGGTCAAGTGTGCATGTAAAATCGAAGAAAATATGGGGCGCGGAAAATAGAAAGGGACCTAACAGCAAAATCTCGATTTTGAGAAAATTGAAAAAAAGGATCAGCATTTCAAATAATTTACTATTGTTTTTTAAAACTTTAACAGAAAATATCTCGAAATTTTACTAAGCAAAGTGAGTATAGTTCCTAAGCTAAAATTAACCGTTGTGAAGAATTACATATAAAAACATTATTAACTCAAAATCGAGATTTTGCTGTTAGGTCCCTTTCTATTTTCCGCGCCCCATATATGGAAACCCCTTTATTTTTACATATTTTTTGCCAGGGCAAACAAATAACACTCGAAGAAACCTTAATGTGAAGTTTGGTCTATCAGCTCTATAAGTTCTATAATAAAGAAATTTGGATATGCACAATTCAATCTTTGGACTTAATTTTTTTTTACATAATAATAATTAATGCAATAGTAATTTCCAATTTCCAAGCTTTAAATATTTATTTTAGAATTTGTTTATTAATTTTTTTTTTATATGTAAGTGATGATGGGTATTGTGATGTTAGATTTTTCCGAGTCCTTGTAAAATAAGGGAGTCAGATCATTTGATTTACAAACTAAAAATAGAATTCTTTCAGATGATTCGTCATAGACTGTCATTCCTTGTTTGATCCGCCCATATGTATTTTTGTAGGTAAACAATGACTCATATGATTACACCGATTTAAACTAAAATTTTTTTTTACCATAAATGAATTCGATGATGAAAATCATATTTTTCTTCTTTAAATAATATATATATATATCATAAACCAAGATTCACTATTAGAGAGAACTTGCCAAAATTTTCATTATTCTAAACCATAATCAGCTGCTTAATATAATAGCGTAAATATTATTTTCTTTTCTTAAAAAAAAAAACAAACCCCAAAATGTCACAACTCTTGCTCCGATTATTCCAAAGTGAACATTTCAATAGTTCGATGGCAATATCCTACTTATTTAAATATCCTGATTCAGTTGGAATTCAACACTACTTATGCAATGAACTCAAGAAATTTCCAATGTCAGAGATCGAATTCTTTTTGCCTCAGTTATGGTAAAGGACGTTACTTTTCACTTGGTAGTTTTTCCAAAATTTCACCAATGTTTCTTTCAGTTGATTCATTATAATTTTACAAGAAGAAAAAAAAAAGCCTTGGTTAGGTAGAATTTGAAAAAAGAGGATGATTGATGATTTTGTTCACCCTTCAAATAAATTATGTAAGAAATCATATTAATTTAAATCTATTGATCATTTTGTTTGTGCATTTCTCTCTTTCTTTTTTTTTGATTTAAAAATAAGCCACTTGCTCGTTTGTCGAACTACTGAATCGGTCGCATTGGAATTTTTTATATTAGAAAATTGCGAAAAGTCAAAACATATGGCTATACTGGTACGTTTTTAAATTCTAACAAACATTGTTAGATGTAAACTATCAAATATAAAAAAAAATTATGCGCTATATTATTAATAAATTATGCGTGCATGTTTACTTATTTATATATAAATTTAATAAATTTCAGACTTTATGGTATTTTCAAGCATACCTCTCGGATTTATCCTCTAATCCATCCTCACCTGCCTTTACCGTCTGCAAAAGGGCCATAAACAAATGCCAATCAATAGTATTTGAAGGGACTCAAAGCGATGATCAAAAATCCATTACTGATCCTGGAATATCCTCTAAAAAAGTTAAGGAAAACGTTCTTCCGGCTCTTGTTGGAATTGGTGCCATGGTTGCCGGTATATTCGCACCATCTTTAATGAAAAGTGCTGGCCAAATTGCTATAGCACAAGGTAGAAGAGCAAGAGGTTTTGAAATCAATCTAGAAAATCTTCCACCATCTGATGATAATGATGAGTTACAAAAGCACGAAATTGGTTCAACATATTTATCAACTGATGATGACTCAAATACAGATGAACAATTTAATCAAAAATCAGTAAAATTTTCAAAAAAAAATCTTTTAAGGTCTTCATCTTCATCTTTTCCTCATCGTAACGGAATAAATCTAAAGCCTTTAACATCTCCATCACTTGATGATTTGCATAAAGGAAGTTTGATGAGAAGAAATAACAAGTTTAGACCGCAATCTGTAGATCTTACAACAAACTTTAAAAAAAAATTCTTTTTTAACGAGGTTGTTGACAATGACGATGAAATATTCACAGTTTATCGTACCTCGACAGAATTCTCTGATGACGCCTTGCTTGATGAAATAGAAGAATATGGCCCAGAAAGACAAAGGCGTCTTCTCAAAGGAAATTACTTCAATTCAGAATTGCAGTTCTTATTAGCTTTGCAAGATATTTCTTCAAGATTAATTATTGTTCCAAAAAAAGCAAGGCAAAGTGCTTTAGAAGCAGAATTAACCATATTAAATCACAGTTTACCAGCAGAAATTTGTATACCATTATGGTGTCCCGCTTCCTCCGAAAAACCATATCATCACCGAGTACTTAGGATATCTCCATCTGATGCAGTAGTTTTAAATTCAGCAGAACGGGTATTTATTTATATAATACATTTAATTTTAAAACTTTTGAATTAGTTGATATATGTATAAATAACTCAAATTTATACAATTTAAAAAATAACTAGTACTAATTCAATTTGTTACTGGATTATATAGGTACCTTACTTGTTAATGGTAGAAGTTCTTGAGGGTGAAATGAATTTTGATATGGCTAAATTACAAAGGCAAAAATCCTTGCATCGTCTTTTTCACGAAGAAAAGTCAAAACGTCTATCAATCGAGCTTCCCCCCGCGGCTACTGATCCGAAGCAAACTCAAGATGATAACACTGAAATTGATACTGAAATTCCCTCTGAAAGTATTAAGAATCTTCAAAATGGCGACGATAATGAAAACCAAAGTTTAAAGGTATTGGATGTTGAAACACCTGAAATATTACAAAAAAAAGAAAAAGATGATGACAATAATGATAATTATCCATCAGAAAAACAAGAAAATGATATTTCAAATGAAAATGAAAATGAAAATAATAACATTAATGATAATGTTGATAATGGTATGCTTAATTTTGATGTTGATGTTGATAATAATAATGATAATAATAATAATAGTAATAATGAAGATGATGAAATAACTATTTCACCAACGTTATCGGCACCACTGGGATTAGCCACATCATCAAAGTCTTCTAAAAGAACCGCGTCGATTGATAAATTAATTATGTCAGCACCTAATTTAAATACCATTGTTGAATCTGATTCTAATGATGATCCAATTTCAATTCCCTCTGAAACATCGTTAACTATTTCATATACGCCTACTTCTCCAACACTTCCTGAATCGAATAGTGAATACTTAAAAGAAGTCATAAATCGTAGACAGTCAAATTCAGCTGATGAATTTGCAGAAAAAATGCGTACTGCCGCTGTAATGCTTGCTCAATTAAACGCAACGCAACAATCGCGAGTGTCTTCTACTGGAGAACCAATTCAAAGGCCAAAAGCAAATACAGAGGCAATCCGCCAAAAGATTTTTAATGAAATGATGGTTTTGGAAGAGGAAAGGATATTGAAATTGAAAACTCATGGAATGATCAGTGGAGTTGGTGCTAACGGAGGTGAAGGTGGTGGTGGTGAAATGCTAGAAGATGAAAAACGCGTTTTGAGTGCTGTAAACAGAGATGATCCAAGTGGTAATAGATCAAAAATTAATTTTGGGAAATATCAATAATATATATACAAGCATATATCGATTAAAATTAAATTATTTTATACAAATTAAATAGCCGCTGTATTTCGAGAAGATTGGAATACTAAGAGAGAACGTATTCGTAAGGCATCTCCTTTTGGTAATCATCCTAACTGGCGTCTTTTTTCTGTTATTGTTAAAACAGGAGCAGATTTGAGACAAGAACAATTAGCATGTCAGTTAATCAAGGAAATGGAAAGAATATGGCAAAAAGACCATGTTAATGTGTGGGTTAAATAGTAAGTATCATCATTTTTTGGTATTGTAATATATATTATATTTGATTGGTTATTTGTTTACTTATTAAATTTATATTTTTTTTTATTCCTTAGTTATCGAGTTTTAGTTACTTCTGATCATTCTGGTTTAATTGAAACAATACAAAATTCCATTTCAATCCATTCAATTAAAAAAGATGCTTATGCTAAAAGATTAAACGAAAAAGGATTTGTATTCACACTATTTGATTATTTTGTCAAGGTAACCATCTATCATTAAATATTATTTTGTTTATAAATTGTTGATCCTTATTTATCTTTGATTTCTAGACATATGGAGATGTGACCTCTGAAGCTTTTTTGCGTGCTCAAGATAATTTTATGAGAAGTTTGGCCGCATATTCTTTAGTGAGTTATATTTTACAAGTAAAAGATCGGTAAGTTTTTTTTTTTGGTTTAAAAAGCAAAGAATAAATAATAGATTTTTATTTTAGGTAAATGATTACTTACACTCAGATTAAATAATCATTATTAATTAATAGCCATAATGGTAATATTCTTGTGGATACTGAAGGTCATTTAATATGTAGGTGTTTAATATTGATTTTTAAAAATTATATATTTGTCATTTATATTCTGGCAAAATTTTTAAATCATATTTAAAAATAAATCTTAGACATTGATTTTGGATTTATGCTTTCAAATTCACCTGGTTCTGTTGGATTTGAATTGGCACCATTTAAGTTGTCTCAGGAATATTTAGATATTTTGGGTGGTTTAAACAGTGAAAAGTTTTTAGAATTTAAGTCATTATTAAAACAAGCATTTAATGTGTTAAGAAAGCATGCTGATAACATTGTCTCGTTGGTTGAAATGACGTCTAAAGGTAATAAAATAAATTATACATGTGCTGAAAGTTTTTATTGCAAGGAAATCGGATTCCCTTTTCAGGAAGATATTCAGATTTCCAAAGCAAAAAATTTCAGCATGATTCTATCAAATTAATAATATCAATTTGATATTAACTATTAAAAAATATTAAATATTTAGATTCGAAACTTCCATGTTTTCTCTCCGGGGAAGCAACTTCTTCTCATCTTAAAGATCGATTTCAATTAACACTTACTCAACCGCAATTTGACGATTTTGTTGAAAAGTTGATTATGTCAAGTTGTTGTAATGTATTTACACGATTATATGACACTTTTCAATACTATTCTAATGGAATCTTATAAAATATATGTTATTCTTATTGTTTGAAATCCCATATACACATAAATATGCGTGAAAGAATGTATGGAACGTTAATGGGGGTTTTTTTTATTATGTATAGATTATGTAAAAATCGCATTATTATTTATTTTTATGATTCATTAATATATCTATAATTCTATGGAATTATTTAATTTAAAAGTTGCAAATAAAAATAAATCTCTAAATCATCTTTTGTTAGTTCTGCAACTTAAATAGGGAAATTTAGGCGGAAACAGCAGCAGCAATGGATTATGATTTAAAATCCAAGGATGTTTCGATACTTCCTCCAAAAGTAATTGTTTATCAAGATTTTTTTTGACCGGCACCTAGAACTTTCCAAATGCAAACTACTTTTTTACATATTATTCGCAATTTTTTGTCTAAATTGAATATTTATTCGATCAGATTTAATCATAATATTCTACCTCTAACATTTCCAAAATTAAATTCATTTCGATGCTTATCAAATGCTAGTTGGCATTTTCTTTGGAAAGAGGATTTAAACAAATCACCAACTATTTCGTTAAATCTCCCTAACTAGGAGGACTCCCATTGGATATTTTCGATATTGAGAGTGTATTGAAGAAGTGTTGTCCGGTATATATTGACTGGTGTTGATGGTTTGTGCAGGTGTATAGGTTCTTGAAAATGGTAATAAAGTGGAATGAGAAGTTGAAAGCAATCTTGATACACCAGCAATAGCTGAATGAGAATCCTGAGGCTTTATAGAATAACCATATTCGACATATTCAATGTTGTCCTTCATATAATTTATTACATAAAATTTGTGTCTTGAGCAGCATTGATATCATAATTTCAATGACTAGTAAGAAAAATATCAGACCAAGATCCAAGAACATCCGTCTTTTGTAAATATCTTAAAGGAAAAACGTTTAATTCTTAATTATCAACTATATATATTTATTTGCAAGCCCTCTATTACTAATCATAATATATATAATATTATTTATTATGTACCAAAGTTAATAGAATGAATTTTAATACTGTAGATTTATTATTTAAAGCAAATTATTAAAAATAAAAGTTATCAAAACAAATTATAAATAAACCATCTGAAGTTTTTAAAAATCGAAAAAATGACGAAAAAAATTTGTCATTCTCTTTTTACATTCTTTTAATCAAATAATAATTAATTCATACATACAATGAAGAAGACTACTGAATATTATTAATAAATTTAAATTGTCACGTCGTTTTTTTTGTTGTACTTTGCGACCATGGAGTAGATGTTGTTGTTGTTTTAAGCATAATTTGTAGGATTGAACTGGTCGACTTTGGCATTCACAAACTGTCAGTTCGCTTAATACACGGATATTCATTCCTGGATTTAATTAAGCCAAAGGATTTCATATATCCTATTATTGGCTTACCGAAATAGTATCTCTCCTCAGGAACGATCAATTCAAAAAAAGCAATTGCGGCCAGATTTTTGACAACGCTAATATTAATATAAAATTTTTACTTTTGTCATAATACTAATACTAAGGTTGTAATGATTTTCCTTGACATCCATCCATAGTTGTTCTTTCTCATTTTCCCAATGCTTATATGCTTTTTCGAAATCAAAATCTTCTGTTTCTGACCCATTTAACAATATCATTAATAATTGCTCGAAGTATCAATATTCATTCTATTTCTCATTTTTTATTTTTTATTTAAATTTTGTTGTGAAAATATTCTTTTCTAATAGTAAAATTTTTAGGTCTTTTACTATAAGATTTGACCCGGTTGTGGCAACAACCTATCTATGAAGTTCCGGGAGAGGTATAATCAGCGTTATTTAAGAACAAGTGTTATAGTTGGATAAAGGAAAAATCTTCATCTGTATCCAATATATACATATATGTTTCCATAATTGAACAATAATAATAATATTTTTATAAGACCAGAGATGATATTTTACCAAATACTACCCTTGCTCAAGTGTGAATATTCGAAATACATCAGATGACTTTTGGTAATGGATGGATTTTCGAATAGTCATAAATATTTCAAATAAATATAATTATGAATCACTTTTATTTTTGATCAGGACCTTTAGATGGATGTGTGATCTTTTTTTTATTTTACTATTAGTTTTTACATTGCAAAACAAGACGATGCTTAAGAGGCATCCTTATCGATCACAAAAATAAAAAAGAAAACAAGATGATACTTGGGACAAATCCTTTATTTCGGCAACATAAATCGACGCGGTTTAACCAAATTTGGAAGCTATCTGCAGATTTTCACAAGAAATAACCAATTTATATATACAGCGAATTTTTACCATTACATAGCATGCTCAATTAAAAAATTTGTATATAAGAATATAACATTTATTCTCTTAAAATATTGGCAAAAAATAATATGATACGTGCTTTTATATCTCTTTAGAAACATCATTAATTAAAAATTAATTCCAGACTATTTAAAAAGTTTAATTTCAATTTGAATTTAGAAATCATCGTGCATTCCAATATTGTTATTTTTGATCAACTGCAGTAAAATCCCTCTTTACTTCTTTAGAAAATTCATCATCAATCAAAAAATCCAAACCAACCAAAGTAATACCTTTAGAAGCCATAATGGTTTCCTCATGTGCCAAAATAGTTTTAGCAGCTCTAGTAAATCCTATCGTATGATTGAAATCGCCAGGTAATGCATGTATATCATATACTGAATGTATACCAGGTACTACATACGTAACATTACCTTGATCAGTTGAGCCACTTGGTAATGCTAATTGTTCATGTTTTGGTTGGAATTTTTTACCAAATACTTTGGTTAAATAATATTCATATCTTGTAGCTAATGGTTCATTAGTTTTAACATCTATTCATTCATAGGTTATTATTATTATATTATTATCATTTTATCATTATCATTATTATTTCAAAAAAAATAAGTAAATATTAAATTGCTTTTACCATAAACTCCTCTTTTCCAATTAGTTTTTACTTTAGTCCCAGTAGCTTCAGATGCAGCATCGAAGCATTTTTGAACACGTGGTTGTAAAGATTTTAAATCATTTATAGTTTTACCACGAATATAAAAGTGTCCAGAAGTATAATCAGGAATAACTAAATAAATAAGTAATATTAAATAAATGGTTATTATTATAGATTGAAATTCAAAAAAAAATTTTATTTAACTGTTTGGAGCTTCTCCACCATTTTTAATAATTCCATGAATCCTAAAAAATAAAAAAGTAAATTTTTTTTGAATAATGAATTAATTAAAGACTTTTTTTTTGTTACCTATCAGTAGGCAAAATTTGTTGTCTCAGCAATGAAATATTGTTATAAGCCGAAATTATAGCATCTAATGCATTAATGCCTAATTGATTATATAAAAAATAAAAAATATTTTATTGATTTTAAATTTTCCAAAAAAAAACCAACATTCATATATATATTTGATAATAAATACCATTCCAAGGATCCCCTAAAAAATTTTTTAAATTAATAAATAAATATTACACACACACATATATGTATAAGAAACATATTTGGTTTCTTAGAATACCTGAAGCATGTGCATTCTTTCCAAAATATTCTACAGTGACAGGTCTTAATGCGAGAAAACTCATATATACTGCATCATTAACGCTATTTAAAAACATATAGAAGAAATAATTAATAATAGCATTTTTAAAATAATAATTATTACAATGTAAATTATTTTGAAAACCTTGGATGAACCATTAAAGAAATATCAACATTATCGTAAGCGCCAGCTTCAATTAAATCAAGTTTTCCACCACCAATTTCTTTAAAAAAAAAGCATAAACACATATAATATATAATATTAAAAATAAAAATAAAAATAAAAATAATAATAATAATAATAAATACCTTCAGCAGGGGTGCCTAATAATTTTACAGTTCCTTCAATTTCATATTTTTCAATAACTGATTTAATACCAATTGCAGCAGCAACACCACTTATTGCTATTAAATCTGTATTTACATATATAGTAAATTTAAAAAATATTTAATTTATAAGTCCATGTTCATAAATATGTATTATACATGTATAATGACTTACTATGACCACATGCATGACCTATTTCTGGAAGTGCATCATATCTTAAAATTCACAGAATATTCGATTTAAACAATCATGTATATAAATTTATGAGGGAAAACCAATATTTAAAAAATTCACTCACTCTAAAAATAAATTTATGTAAGAAATTAACAATAATTAATGATGACGATAAAGAAAAATAAAACCCAATCTAATTTTATCTAATTACCAGAATTAAATGACACTGTTTTTCCTTTTCCAGATTTAGATTGAAATTCTGCAGTAAAAGCTGTTTCGATTCCATATGCATTTGGAGTTACTTCAAATCCTTTGGATTTCAAATATGTAACTAACAATTCATGCGCATATTTTTCTTGATATGCTAATTCTGGATGTTCATGAATCTATTTTATGTATATTATGTGTTATAAATATTATAAATATTATAAATATAAATATTGTAGCAAGTATTAATTATTATCATCAAAAAATTAACTACTTTTAAGCTTATTTCTCTCAATTCTGATGAAACTTGATCAATTGCTTGAAGAGCTGTTTTAGCATATTCCGGATTATTAATATTAGAAACATCAACATCTTTATGATTTGGTAATGAATTTTGAAACGTATTATCATCATCATTATTAGTATTGTAGTTGTATCGACAATGAGAAATTGGCTATTGTTATAGATAATATCATTCGTTATATAATTAAATTGTCTTTTTTAAAAAAAGTTATTTTATTTTTCTACCTTTTTTTTAAACAAATTTTTAATTTTATTTTTTAAATGAACCAAAAAAAATCTACTATTTTTGCTTCCATCATCATATTTCTCACCAATATCAATGTTAAGGCTATTATGATCAATGCACATTATTATTATTTTTGAATAATTTTCATCACGTTGCTGAATTAACAAGCTTTAACAATAATAATAAACAGATCAATCCCTTTTTTGAACGCGTGCCACGCACTGGATAATCGATTACAAATAAAAGATAAACATCCAAATAATTACTCGTATAAATATTTACAGACTCCTGTTCAACTCGTTCACTTAGTATTCATTATAGAAAGCGGACTATTTTTAATAAACAAATACATGAATTATCCCCAATCCCACCATAAATTAACCAATATCGAGTAATTTCTTTTTTTATGCTAATACTAATAATTAATGTGTACGCATTTGTCGATCAAATAAAATTTCTTTATATTTATAAGAAAAAATATGAACAAATCTAATGAAAAAAAAGAAGAAAAGCAGATACCTTTGGTGCTGCCAAAGGATAAGTGTTTATCATAAGAATGGTGGTGTGGTTATTACCACTTGTCATCATTCTAGTTAGTTATTAAAAAGAATGGTGGTTATTGCCAAAAAATACTGGAATAAAATATCATCATCTCAGCAACAACAACAACAACAAGAACAACAAGAACAAGAAGCTTTATCAATAAAATAACAATTGGTTTATGATATAGCTGTTAATAGACATGAAAATATATTTTTTACTGGTTCTGCAGGAACTGATAAAAGTCATGTACTATTAAAGATTATAATAGCTCTTAAAAAAATTTTGTGGAGCTGAAAAGAGGTGAAGGAAGCCTTCTCAAGCCCATCCAAGCAAACACATTCATGTTGTTTCTCAGGAGATATGTTTTCAAGTCCTAATTATATGTGAGTGCAGCAAGCGTTGTTTGGTTTATTGTTTCCGTTTTTTGCTCTTTTGTTTATTAAAAAAATAATGTCGCCTTTGCCTTTCGTTCAGATTATGCTAATCAAGACAACATTCCTTGATTTGAAGATGTTGAGTGATATGCCAAGTATAAAAGATTTACCAATCAGCCCTTTGTTCAGTACGGTAACTGGTCTGTGTTCTATGCCTCCAAGAAGCCAAGACGGCGGAAGTTACTTCATATTGTCCCACAAAACTTATAATGCAATTACCAGTGCATATGTGGTGATGGATGTTCCGTGCCTTTATGAGCCATCATAGCAACGTGGAAAATGCCACGAACAGCAAAACCATTTTCTCCATGGCGGGAGAACTGTTTGTTGGCAAGAAGCTTATGCAAATTATTGCATCTGATATTGAATGGACGTATCCATTCGTGGAAAGAGCCACCACCGATAAAGGAAGCAAATGTCCTGATGCAAGAAGCCGAAATTGAAGCGTTTAGACTTCGAGGAGAAATGTGTGAAGGGCTCTGGGAACCAAAAAAAAGGTCTGCGAACTACCATAATGGTGGTTATAATGGAGAGTCGAGTGCAAGCACGCAAAAAATGGGCATGGATACAAATTGTGAAGAGCAGGAAGGGATGCCTCGAGAAACAACTTGAGATCGGCCAAGATTTGCAGATGCAGTGAGTGTAGTCGTTAACAACAAGGGGAAGGTCGCGAAAAGGACATTGAGAAATTGATGGATTCTCACGAGGAAAAATCTTGTGAAAGCTCCGACACCGAATAATCTTTTGTTTCTTTTTTTTTCCTATATAAAATAGTAATAAACAAATAGTAAATATAAAAAACTACAATTAGTTGCTTAATTGTTTGTCACTGTTGTATTGCGTGCCAAAATAGGACCGGGAAAACTCTATTGGATGTCACCACCAAATTAAGCACCTGATCATATTAACGCGAATCTTGCTTTTTATAAACGAATCAATTTGATGGTAACATTTAACAATTTATTAATGATGCAAATCAATATTAATAATGATGATTTTTCAAATAAAAACATTCGAAAGTGCGAAATATGTCTATTACTACTATATATATATATATAATATTAATGTTAATAACAAAGAAAGTCGCACATTAGATTTTTTTTACAAAGTCGTACATCAAACCTTTTTTGAAAATATATATATGTATATACAAAAGTCGCACATCAGAAATTTTATATATATATATTAAAAAACTGGTTTTTTACAAAGAAAAGTCGCACATCAGAACTTTATTATTATTATTATCTATTATATTAAAAACGTTGTGTTCATGTTTCCTAAGGTTTAGAATGGCGCGCACGCATAAATAAACGTAACGTTTAGGCTGCCACGTATAAATAATGATTTTTGAATTGTTCAATAACGCGAACGTGTGTCACAATCTATCCATTATTGTATCAATGGCTTGCGTTTAGACTACCACAAGCACGCAAATAAATATGTTGTGATGCGTGGCGTTTTAGACCACCGCATGCAATCTATCTATTATTGTAT